ATCTGTTTTTCCGTTAACCAGCTGTCGCACCCCTACGAACGACAACCCTCAGAAGTCGAAACTTGTGCGAGCTAAGGATTAACGAGGTCTTACCTTTTAACGTGTGATTCCTAACACGGGTTGGACGGTAGCAAGTGAAGATCGATCGTTCAGACTAGGGCTTGAACCACCGACCAACACGGCAGTCAATTCGAGTGAGTGAACAAAGCACCCACGCCGAACCGCTTGGCTACCGACTAGCTACCAAATAAGTTAATAAATAATATTGTAACTAAGTGGCTATGGAAAATCTGACAAAAATGAAGGTACTTTTCTGCAGTTTGTCAACGATAATGTTGATTTCATTGTCAACAGCACTGGTGGCAGAGGAGCTATCCACAATGACGAAGCAGCATTTGTAAACTTTCAAAACGATTACAACTAACTACATACAAATATGGTTAGATGAACTACTGGAAATGTTATTTTGAGATTGCAAAAAAGGATGCACAAATACTTCCCTTGCACTGCAGCGTGTTCACACAGTGCAAATGTATCAGTTGTTTCAATCTTACAATACGAAAATATTAATCCTAGTTCTTCATTAATTGTGAATCGTGGTTGACATTTGAATTAGAAAAGAACAATGTCATAAACCTACCTGAAATTCCACTGCCTAATGAACAAGCCAAAACCTTCTGAAACTTGACTGCTATTATAATAACAATAGTATCCATTAATCTGGAACTGCCTTCTGAAGTAATTTTTATAAATTTTCTTGTGTATTTCTTGTAAACAAATTATGTCCGCTTTGAAGCCTGTAAAATGGGAAGTAAAGAAAAATATTGAAATTGTTACCAACAAAAAAGAAAAATATTTCTTCCACGAAACTAACTTGACTGCCAAAACACGCTGAGAGAAAAGTGTTACTGCTCTGGTGTGTGAGACACGTTTTTTTGGTGGATTTATTCTACTCTAGAAGTTACAATCCCACTCAGCATTGAAATTATTCAAGAATGTAACCTTTCACGGCCGGAGATAACTGTGTGAAATCTATGTTCCGTGTTTTTTTGACCGTGGCCGCAGGTTTTTATTTCCTGACGTTTCGTCTACTACTACTCAACATAGAGAGGCAATATGAATTCAAAAACACAGGGATAATTTCAATAAAAAAGAAGAGGCAATTTCTACCGCACTAGTAGACAAAACGTCATGCATAAAAACCAGCAGACCACGGCCATAAAACCCGAAAAATAGCTTTCTTTCACACAGTTGAAACGAATGTTTTCGCAAAATAGTGCCATTTTATATAGGTAGTAGGTGTTGTTTATTTCCCTCTGAATACTTCAACAGATAAAGTTCTTTCATCTTTATAATCGGATAATGTTAATTAATTATGAAATAATACTACTTGGGAACTTCAATATATCTAATTTTCCAAGAAGCGCATACAAGAAAAGCATAAGGTAACAACAATTTCTACTGCTCTTTGTCACAATGAGCCAAGTTCATATTCGTCTCTAAAGACAACAATGGAAAAATACAATTTATTTCAGCAAAAGTTTAGATGTAGACTTCTTCAACACTGATACAAAGGAACTGATATTGTTATTGAGCCCAAAATTGTACATTGTAGCTGATAATTGACTCTTTATAATTATTAGTTTTGGGTCATTTGAATTTTTTTGGATTGTACTCAGCTTTTAGACTTACCTACTTATTGGTACCTCCCTGATATGTTTGTAAAGATGACTGAAATAAATAAAATAAATAGATATAACAGATTTACCTAATAATTCTTTGAATAATACTAATGTTCGGTAGTCAATTGATAGAAATGTTGGATCACAGTAACTGTACTTTTCATCCATCTGGGTGTATCGTTTGGAAGGAGTATTATATGAGACAACTCTGAATCTAAAAATAAAATAATTATTATTTCAAAACATAATTGACATAAATCATGTTATAAATCAAACATAACTATATATTTCCATGAACATCAACTATTTGTTTTTCAAAATTGTTAAACAAAGTTATATCAATTTTGATAACTATTAAGTCAATTTAAATTCAATTTGTTTTTCCGGGTGTTCATCCGTTGTGTACTATTCGATAGTCGACGTTTCGCCATCATCTCAGATGGCATTATCAAGACGAGTTACTGCTTCACGTCAGTCAGACGCCTGTGCAACGTCTTCCATTTAGAAGATTCATTGAGAGGCAAGAGGTAAGGTGATTTTCACCTGAACCTGGGGCATGTCATATGCACCTTTTCAGAACATCATTATTTCTCTCACTCCCATCCCCAGAGTATGTGTTTGTGAAGTTGTTTCCAGATTTTGTATGCAGGTGAACAGTAGACATCCTACTGAATCAACTGTATACATATAATTTACATCAATGCAAATTTGCACACAAAAAAGTTACAGTCTTTGGAAAGCACAAAATGAAAATCGATTTTTTCAAATAATTCATGAAACAACGAAATCTGTTCAGTCCATACAAGTTTAAGGGGGGTACTGAACCCCTAACCCCCCAAAATTTCTATGGGCGAGAATTAAATTAATATTGAGACACCATAAAAAACTGACTTTTCATTGAAAAATTCGACTCTCATTTGTGAGGTTAGGATTACCAACCAAAGTTCACTTGAGTAATTGGAATTTTTCATTGCAAAATGAAAAAAAAATTGGAACATTCTGTAAAAAATTAGTGTTGCTAGAAAAATTATTTTGGAATATTGTTTCAGTAATAAAACCGGATCAGTTTTCATAACTAAATATTTAACTTAAATTCATTTTAAACCAAATCAAGTAATTTTTAAAGTTTGGCATTGTATAATTCATGTTTTGCATATTTTACAAATGTAAATTGAATTTACATTAGTACGCCACTGGTCGGTACCTTCGGGCGTTTCCGGATATATCCGTATGAAAACATAGATGTCGCTCACTGCGTGATTCTTCGCCATTTTCATTGTTGAAAGAGTTGTAAGATAAAGATTAAATGTGGAATCTGAGGGATAAGTTGAAAAATGAATTTCTCATCAAGAATTTGTGGACTAGTGATCGCTATAAAAATATTGTGTATGAATATAACAAATGCAGTACTTATAGGAATGGAAATATACTTTTCGGAAAAAGTGTTCAAAAACGTAGAAGCCAGTATGTTCCTAACTTGCGCTTTGGTATTATCTTTTGTTGTCATACAGCTGAGTCACCAAATTTTTTTAAAAGACACATTCAAAAAATTGGCAAGCCTAGAAATTTTCGTCTATCTTGTGACTGAAATTTTACTGGTCATTATAGCGTTTGCTTCTAGTTTTCAATACCACATAGCGATTTTGGTTTTAACCTTGGTCAATGGAGCAGATCTTTTCATTTATACCCTTTGCATATCTATACATTACCATAAACAGCAAGATAAAATGAAGAGCTTAAATCAGATAGTTCAGAAGGTTGACCCATTAGATTTACCTTCAACGTCTCACGGAAAGGACTGTTTTCAAGTTCCCCTAAAGGACAGAGAAGAGAGAGCTATTACTAGGCAGTCAATTTATACTAGGCAGTCAACTTTTGCTAGGCAGTCAGGTCCTCGTAGGTATGGAAAATGAAAAATTGTGAAGGCCACAAGCAAAGATCCTTGAACAATGCGCCGATTTTATTTCAAATCAACTACTAAGGGACATACAAAAATGTAAACACATTAATATTCATTACAGAAAATTTATATCAAAAATAGAACACCTAATGATCAACCATAACGATTTAAGGCACAACTAGAATTAAATATTGTCGAAGAACTCATTTAGCAAGAACCATGAAGTAGGTATCAAGTTTTTCTTGAATTTTAATAAGTTGTTAGTATTTCCTCAGGACAGATTGTTATATATATTTTTATTCCCGTATACTCAATTGAATATTCCACTAGGGAACATGGTATGTTAAGTTGATGTGCTTGTCTTGTAAATTGATTCGATTCTGATAGAACTAACTCTTATTTTAGTCTATCAGACATGACATTTCAAATATAAAAAGAAAAAGATACAGTTGAATTTTATTCCTTTTGAAAAGAATTCTACAAGTTTCATACCATTTTCCTCAACACAAATATCTTACAGCTTGTTTTTGTAAAATGAAAACAGAATTTAAAAATTGTTTGCCGCATACCTCCCTAATACTATTTCATACCAAGTGTGAATCAATGAAGGCATAATAAACATATAACCTTGTAATGCCACAGTTCAAATTGAAAGGAGTATATTTTCAAGAGAGATTAATAAAGGAAGGTTTTGTATAAAGATGGAGAAGTAGAAATCTCAAACCTTTCTTTTCCAAAAATACCACAGCGTTATCTAGAGGCCACTTTAGCATGGTATAATGGTAGAACTTGCAAATCATAGGAGACAAAATTTAACTTTAGATGGTCCCAGCTCAATCAATCATTAATCCAAGATAAGTTATTTTTCCTATAGTGGTCAGATTATGGTTGTTGAAAGATTTATTAGATATGTGGAAACTTTATTGTAAAATGGGGTGTTTTCTTGATTAAAAACATTGAAACGTCATCAGGACTAGATTTGTTTTCAAATTAGGAACATATTTTTTATATATCTCAATGAAGCACTAACAAATAAATTATTGAATAATAGGCCAGTATTTTTATTGTTCTAGCTGTGGATAACTTCTTCATCACATTCCAAGCAGCTTTGGAAGTATACAATAGAGCATTAATTGTCTGAATTAATTGGAAGAAATGGGTGTTCAGAAAACGGGTTTATTGACTGGTTATCTGGAAGTCGAATAATCGATGCTGTACTACAGTTACCGCTGATATATTAATTCATGCAAACCAAAGCTCAAGTGAAGATGAATTCTGTTCAACAGAATGGAACATATATAAACAAAACTTGTCGAGATAAATTGGGGGTATGAGTGCATACTCTGGAATTGACTTCAAGAGCAAGTTATTCATATTCGTGAGCTAAGTTGGCTTCTCTGAATGAACCATTAGTATTGTATTTGAAAAAAATACTCACGTGAAATCCTGCAAATAACTTTTAGTAAATTCATGCCTTTTGTGAAAGGGAAAAGTTGAAAAATCTTTCATATATTGAACTTTTGATTGTGAGGCGGCTTCTGCCATTGGTCCTCTCTTTCTGTTTTCTACGGGAATGCAAACCAATTTCAAATAATGATCAACATCTTCCAACTTCACTTTGTATTCATAGCCTGTACCACATTTTATCCACTCAACTTGATCTAATGATTTGTACCAAGTGTATTCAGAGAGTTTGTTGTTAGTAAAAATAGTTACAAATGTAGCGGGTTGAATACTGCACTCTGCGAATACTACTGGCGGTAGACTCATGTCTATGATAAGAGGATCATTAAAAGAAACCACATGCTTCTGGTCAAATACTTGTAGGATAATAGGGTTTCTCCCAGGAGTTGGAAAGTTGTCCAACAAAATTTTACCATTTACATGTTTTTTACCTATTTTAAAAGACACATAGATATCTTCAACATATCTGTTGAATTTAGTTTTTAATAAATTTTTCAGTTCCTGTTGTATACGTGATATCAAATTGAAAATTTTTTCAGATTTATCCAAAGAAATTTTAATTTCCTCGGATACACTTAGTCCTAGAATGTTAGTTCTGATAGCGAAGTTCAGCATACACTGTTTCGTATGATGATTTTTTCTGAAATGGGCGATTGTATTGATCTGTTGATTTCTTTCCATATTTTTTTGGTAAATTAATTCTTTATAACCTAAAAACTTTTTAACGGTACTAATTTCTGATACATAACTACATATATCAATTCATATGTTATTTTCCTGCCATATACTTTTTATGTATAAAATAAAAACCAAGCGAAAAAATTTAATTTTTTTTTATTTCACAGGAATCAGAAATAGTACTACTACAGGCATCTGCTGGTAATTTCATCAGACTTCAGACTTGAGTTCGGTATATCGATATAAGATAAAATATCGACTCAAAAAGTAAAGTCGATAAGAATATCGATACATAAGAATCGACATTTTTGTGTGTCAGAAATATAAAGCTCAAAAATGGATAATCTTATTTTCCACAATTCACAATATCACAATATCTTGTCTAAGCACAGATTAATCTGTGGTCTAATCGTTTATAAGTGATAAATTCACACTTATAATTCTTCTTCTTAATTTTTTAACTCCGTTTCGTGAGCAATTTGCCAAAAAATTCTCGCATACACTTTGTACTCACCCCAATAGATGTCCGTTAATGAAGACAAATCTTACCTGTAACCTAACCTAGCCAAAGTTAAATTACTATAATTCTAAAATAGTAGGCACTAAGTTCTCAAAAATCATTGTGGCGTTTTTGCCTTAATCTGTGCAGTGGCGTACGGAAATTATACTACACAGATGAGGAAAAATTAATTTCAAGCGTATTGCTGGTATTTAAAAACTACATTCACAAATAATGATTGAATCATATTATTTATATAAAAAAAAATTACACCATGTCATGGAGTTACTAAGAGAAGAAAAATCTTTATTATTAAGTTCGGTACTCGGGCCTCTCTTTTTTATCATTTTTATCAGTGATATTAACAGATGACACAAATTTTATACTAACACATCCTCAGTATGAACATCTCATTGAGAACTGCAACAAAGCATCCACTGAATTTAGTAAATACTGTCAAGAAAATGGCCTAACATTAAATGCAAAAAAGACGAGATATATGCGATTTCTACCAAAAAATATGACATTTGATTCCAATCCTCATTTACATATTGACAACAAATCTATTACAGTCGCTGATAAAATGAAATTCCTGGGGGTAACATTAGATCCAAAGCTCACTTGGGAAACGCACGTGAACACAGTAACTATAAAACTGAGTTCTCTGTGTTATATAATCCGAAATATAAGAGACACAGTATCACCCCATGTATTAAAGCTTGTATATTATGGATTGATGCAGTCAACTATTCAATAATGCTTAATATTTTGGGGTTCATCAACACATATCAATAAAGTTTTTACAGTCCAGAAACGAATATTACGAGCCATGCACAAAATGACCCCAACATCATCGTGTGAAGAAGTTTTTAAAAAAGAAAATATTCTAACTCTACCAAGTTTATCTATTCTGCAACTTATAATGTATGTCAAAGAAAATAATCAAACATTAAAAAAAACCGCTGATTTGCACTCTTGTAATACACGAAACAAATTAAACATTCACCAACCTTTTTCACGCTTAGAAATTGCACAACATGCTCCCAAACACATAGGAGTTAAATGCTATAACAAGTTCGGTGTCATATTGGATACAGACAAAACTCTAGAGTCAAAAAACATTTTAAACTTTAAAAACAAACTTCGAACATTTTTAGTAAGTCATGCTTTTTATGACATAAATGATTTTTAAAATTTTAGATGTAATGTAGATTGAATGTATTTTAGTTAGTTACAAAAGGTACCTACCTAACTCGGTATACATTAAAATTATGCTATTTAAGCAAGAGTTTTCAGGAGATAATTAGTTTTGAAGAATCCATCGTGGCAGAAACAGTAGAAAATTCAGTAATATTTAAGGCACTTGAAATTAAAATTAAAACAATGCTCGAACAGGAGAAGCGATGTGTGATATCTATAGATGAGATGGCTTTAAAATCCAATCTTTTTTTTGATACAGGATGTGATGAAATTATTGGTTTCGAAGATATTGGAGAGGCAAATAAGAGGAATTCCATATGTAGAAATGTTCTTGTTATTATGGCTAGAGGACTTCATTCTCCCCGGAAACAACCGATTGCTTTTTTTTTCATTGAATCACAGCTACCAGCAAAAAATCTACGTGATATTTTGGATAAGTGCATTTCTAAATTATCCAATATAGGTCTGCATGTTGATGGCATTGTGAGTGACATGACATGAAATTTTATGAATTGTCAAAGTTATTAGGGGTCACTTTAGAAGAATCTGAATTTGAGCTCGGTGGTAAAAAACTTGTTTATATTTTTGATCCAAGTCATTTGATAAAAGCCACTAGAAACAATTTTTTAAAACATTCATTTCATTTTAAAGGCAAAAGTACATCTTGGTCTTTTGTGCGCTCTTTTTATGAGCAAGACATATAGCAATTTTATAGATTCCCACCAAATCTTAACAAATCACATATGAATCCAAACAATTTTGAAACAATGAAAGTGAGTCTAGCAACACAAGTTCTAAGCCGTACAGTTGCCAGTGGAATGAATGCATTCGTGGCAATGAACTTACTTTTTGCTTCTTCTTTTGGTACAATACACGTAATAGAGACATTCAATAACCTTTTTGATTTGTTGAATTCGTGTTCTTTACAACATTCCTATAAATACAAAAACGTTTCAAAAGGTTCGAAAATCTAATTAGATTTTTTTGAAGAGGCTCCAAATTTAATTTATTTCTTAAAAGCCAATTCATCATGAATAATAATAAATTGGCAACACAGTTGAATATTCTCTATTATTACTGCGAAAGTTGTTCAATTAGCAATATAAAAATTGAATGGAGTAAGATTCCCTTCACACTTTAATTCTATATTTCACAGTGAGCCCACGTACTATACTAGAACGTAAGAGTATGTATTTTTATTAGTGTATATCGCTGAGCGGTCATTTTTCTCAGTGAACCAGGTTGTTTATCACTCAAAATCTTCGGTTCGGAGTTGGACACCGAACATCAAAGGATCCGACGTTAATGTCGCTTCTATGTGGTAGGTATTCTCGAGTTCTGTGTCAACAATGCATTTTAGTGGCTATGTTCCTTGATTTTTCCACAGATAGAATTATAAATGACTATTCTGCCACTATACTTATGAAAACTTCGACAGCATCATGAAATGACTTGGCTGAACTTTTATGACAAAGCTCATTTAAATGCATACAAAATGAACCGGTATTTCTCAATTATTGGTAATAATTGAAATGTAATTATTAAAATACTGTAACTTGATGTTTATGAATATATAGGGGAGACCGGGGCGGGTTGTAACACGGGGTAAGGTGTAACAGTCGCAAAATCTCCTGAAAGTTTATTCTGGCAACCCCGTATCATGCTAATATGTTAGAAATGATTCAACTCAAACTTAGTTTTCATTAGACCATTATGGTATTTTTCGATGTATCACGTATGTCAGACAGACAGAATAATCATTATTGCGACGCTGAGGATCACGAAGATAATATACCACGTGCATGGGTAATCCCAAATCCTTAAACATATTTGTTCATCTTCAAAAAACACTAACGACTACAGCTTTAAGTAATCTTATCCGTGGCGCAACAGATTTTTTCGGCCCCCCCCCCGCAAACCTTGTTTCGGGCCTCCCCACTAGTTATTTTTGAACAACTGATACAACATAATCAAACAGTTTCGTCATATAGATAAGGGTTGCATAAAATTGTGTATTTACTGTTTCAATCATGTTTTGATTATAAAATTACATCACAAACATACGCCATTTTCAAATAAGCAGGGAATAACAGGGAATTAAGTATTAAAATGTCGTAAGGTTGACAGCAGCGGCTAGCAGGTAGCTTCGCAGCTGTGATTGGCTCTCTACTATAACAAAAACGCCCTTTTGTATTTGTATTATCTTGGGAATAGGATTTTATTGCTCAATTGACAACTTTCTCGTCGCCTACATTCACCCCACAGTGTTTTTAGTTATTTCATTGTCCCATCATAATCAATCTCAGTGAATGTAAATAAGTAGTTTCATAACTAAAATACCTTATTGTTTTGATAGGTATCGGAATTTTATCCGCCAAGTTATCCGCCACCGTCGCCAATCAAAAATTTTGTCTATGAAGTGAAAGAAGGTTCTACAACACAAAAAGTACAATAAAAACCGTAACCGCCGTATTTTCAATACAATTATTAAATGATAGAATTCAATATGAGACCCGCCGCTCGTCTTGCAGACCCAATTCTCGTCGGTTATCTTTTGACGTTTTCTGCTCAGCGGTTCGCGGGCCCCCCAGCTCTCGGCCCCCCCGTATTGCGAGCCCGCGCGGACGGGCGCCTGTGTTACGCCACTGAATCTCGTGATTAATGATTTGAGCCCATAACTTCGATAAACCTTTCTGATATCGAATGAAAAATTAGTATACATGCTGCACAGGTCAAAAGTGATTTCGTATTTTTGTCAGTGGTTTAATTATTTGAAATAGAATAGCATTCATTTTGGGTCCTATTGAAAGTAGTCAGGTGCCATTTGAACATGGAATTTTTTGCTAACATAATACGATTAATTTCACCAACAAGGCATCAAAATGGTTTCGAAATTAATTTTCCTTATGCATGAAGTATTGAAAAAAATATATTCACGATCTTGAACTTAAGTCCGACTCTTCCTTTGACGATGACACATTCCACCCAACAACCAACAAAAATCCTCTTCTTCAAAATATCGGTCAAAGAAAATCGCGTGTTACTTTTCAAAACCTATGATTAGAACGGATTGTATAAATAAAAAAATGAATTTACTTCAAGGATACAAAAAACAGTTCAAATGTAAAAATACACCTAGATACTCAACTCGCCTTGAATTCATACAGTTGAAATGTAACAGGTGTCATATTCGATTGTTTGGTATCTGCTCTCGGTAAACAATTGCAATTATTTTTAGATTTGGAATAGCGCCTATATCCAGGTTTCGACCTTTATAGGTTACAGTTACAGCTGTTTTTTGAATCAAGCGAATATTGAATGCAACAGAATATGTAAGTTATTTTATATCGATGACATTTAATGACATTTTGGTGCTATTTCAAATGTTACAANTTAACGTGTGATTCCTAACACGCTTTGTTGTATCAGAACTTTACCATTGAAATCTAATATGACTGGATTTTCTACAAGAAGGGAGAAGAAAGTCTTCGGAGGAAATAAACAACAGCATATAAATAAATAATATAAATTTATTCAACATGAATAGATTCATTTTTTACAAGAAAATCATTTTGACAATACAAAAAACATACAATATGATATCACAGCCGTTTTTAGCACACACATATTATAAAATATATTTATAAAATATTTGGTCTATCCTCAGAGTTCTCACAAACTACTCCAAATCGCTTTGAAGAGATTCGTAAAGTCGTCGTCTCCTAAATACTACCAGCCTAGCTGGAACAAACTAATTCAATATTCGATCCACTTTAGTGAAATTACTACAAAACTAAACATATTGTCAAGTTTTATGATTGGACAGATTTTTTGAATAATACGCATATTTAGTTTTGTTTCTCAGCCAGATAAACTAGCATCTCAACACATTCGAAATTTAATATTTAGACGAGTTCACATCTTAAAGCATTCACCCAAATCAAAGAATTCAAAGCCCATAGAAGCTCAGAACTGACACTTTCGTGCACTCCGAAATTTTCAGAACTCACCCTAGCCACTAGAGGGCGATGTCAGTATTTAATGTGATTACCAACAGAACTGGGCAGCAGTCGCTGACAAATCAGTCTGCTTTTTGATTAAATTTAATTTTGGCGTACATCCCAACTTCGATATTATCTGGCCGAATGGTTTTCAGCGACTGCTAGCTACCCAATTCTGTTGATACATATGATAAATATGACATCGTACTCACATCGCCCTCTGGTGGTTTCGGTAAGTACAAAAAATTCAGGGTACACGAAAATACTAGTTCTAAGCTTCTGTGGGCTTTGTATTCTTTGTTCAAATCCAAACTTATTGCACGAATTCGATTCAACAGTAGTTAGCCGAATAATCTTGTGAAGTATTTCGGTCGATTTTTCCTCAGATCGGTTGAGAGGTTGTTAACATCAATTGAAGAAATACATTGATTCAAAGAATCCCGAGCTCTCAAAGGATCTCATCCACAATTCTAATTATTGTATATTGTTCTTCGTATATAACAATATATACATTCAAATATACCACTTTGGTATTCTCCATAAAACTGGAGAACACTGAATTCCAAATTTTCCACGCCGCTTTCCGCGGCTTCAAAATTTTTCTCAACGAGCGTCCAACTCTTCCTTCACCGATAGTCACAGCGACGCAGTAGCCGTGAAGTTCTGTCTTCTTCTGATCACTCTGGATTTGTACAAGTCGGACTTGTGGCAAACAACGACGGTGCCTCCCTGGTTCGTGGGAGCGATACCTTTGCTGTTGGTGTTGCCGATCAGGGTTCCGAACATTTTGGACACGGAGAACTTACGAGTTTTCTGAGTCGATTGGACGGAACGGCATTCGTTCAGTATCGTATCGAAAGCTGAGTAGATGACGGGGGAGTTTTCGGCCACTGACACTTCGTGGAATTGGCAATTGTTTTGGATCGCTAGGGTACGACCTTCTATTTCCTCGATCTGTAACAAAAGAAACAATGTTAGTATGAGGTGCTCTAAAAAATTCGTAAGCTGACACACAGATGGCACTACTAGTATTAAATCCATATGATTTTAAGTTAACCCTAACCTTAAAAAATACGTGTACAAATTTCACAGCTGTCGCACTATTAGTTTGCGGGAGAGAACATTTTGAGTGAAGCAACTTTTGTTAGTTCGAAGAAAATGGATAAAAAGGAATTTCGTGTGTTAATTGAGCATTGCTTTTTGTCGAAAAAAATACTGTTGAAGCCAAGGTTTGGCTTGATAAACATTATTTGGACTTTGTACCAGGCGGATCAATAGCTGATAAGTGGTTTGCTGAGTTTAAACGAGAGAAATGAGCTTCCGAGGACGATGCATGCAGTCGACATCCCAAAGAGGTTGTTACCGACAAAAACATCAAAAAAGTCCACAAAATAATTTTTGATGACCGCAAACTGAAGTTGATCAAGATAGCTGAGGCTCTAAGTATATCAAAGGGACGTGCTTGAATATTTGGGTATGCAAAAGCTCTGTTCAAAGTGGGCGCCGCGCAAGCTCGTAGTCGACCAAAAATAACAATGAATTGATGATTCTGAGCAGGTAATATCACCCAGTAATCACTATTTACACATCAGGTAAATAAAGCAAAAATGGAAGCCTTCTTCAGTTGAACGGGAATCTTGAGATTCGAAAGTGAGGAAGGCATCGATGCACCAAGGGTTTATGTGGTTGAAACAACTATTTAGACAACAGAGTGATGTAGTCTGAGGAGGGAAACTAATAGAATATCACCTTCACAACAGACTCACAATAGACCACCCTGTTGAAATGAATGTTTTTTTCCACAGGAGTACTTGGTAGATTGGTGTCTTCTCTACTTCCGAATCTCAACCACTGTACAACTATAGCTACTTATGAAGTACGATTGCTTGATGGCAAAATATTATAAATGAGTATGGACATTTCTCTTATCGAAGACGCCATTAATGGTATCGGCAGGCTTTCCAAAGGTCTTTGATTTCAGATATGTTTTTTTGTGAGAGAAGATATCGTTACTCATTTTTCAGGCTTGTTCTTTAAGAACAGTTTTGCCCAACAATGATTTTTTGTTCAGCCTGGCACCTCTGATGAGACATATGGCAGAGCAAAACAGTACTGTCTGGTATTCGATTGTGAATCAACTACCAGAAATAAATAAATACTGTCACATATGGAAAATAATCATGAAATAATTCAAATTCATTTAAGCGAATACATGAATTGAAAGATATTCCAACCTCAACTTCAATATTCTAAAACAAAAACACTTAGTATTCAGAATTCCATCTTTTAATATTCCAAGTTCATAGACATCGAAATTGATACGATCACAGGATATAGAGATATAAAACAATCGTCAAATACGCAAACTTTTCATACTGAGCATTTTACATTAGTACTGTGACCGAATCAAAGTTGCAATGTCAGCGTATAAATCTTCATAAATATTGAGGGAGGTCAAGATCACAGAGAGACAGTATTGAGAAATTCATTCAGTATCTATTAATCTTCAGAAAAGGTTCCAGCAATGCAGCACATCTCCTGCTGGGTGGCAGTATAATGTTTTTGGTGATTTATTGTATTTTTGAGTAAAATTTTAGTGTTAGTTTATTCCTGAAGTATTTTTCCCGTTTCGTTACAATAAATATTTAATTAAGTTCAAATGAGTTCTTTCATTATTTGGATGAATGATGAATGGGCGAAACAACAAATAAAATCTTCTCCTTAATAAGCCAAAGGAGTACTGAGTTGCGATAATACCATAAAACCACGGCGGGTCGTTAGACAATCCAAACGGCATTCGAATGATCAGAAACAAATAAATCCTTTTGTAGTTTTCAATCTAATTTCAAGTTATCTATTTTCGTCGAAACCAGTTTCCGGGTTAATTGGACGAGGGTCTGCAGGTTTTAATGCCTGGCGTCCATTGCAGAATCACGATTGACATTATCAAAGCAGATGAAAAAACGGGCACATTACTGTAATTGTTGACATTATCAAAGCAGATGAGAAAACGGGCACATTACTGTAATTGTTCTCATTATCCGTTTTATTCGTCGTGCCTGAAAGTTGTAGTTCTCATGTATTAGTTGATTTCCTGTACACTATATGACCCAGCAAACCCGAAAAATAGATTGGCCGTGGAAGCCTAATTTCTTTGAGTTATCTATCTTTCGTCCTTGAAATTCCACAACTGTTTCAGTTTGGTGAATAAGGAAGGGGCCTCGATTGAAAACTGAAATCACATCTCCAGTTTATATAAATATTTCCGTCTTTTGGAACACTTAGAAATTCCTCGGATGAAATATCTTATCTTGAATCATACCTGATGGAATGTGGCAACTGGCAGAACTTCTTTGTAAATAACTATCCGCTATAAATATTTCTTGGATTACTAAACCATTCCTTGTCTGTAATTACAGGTGTAACTCAAATAAACGGCGTTCGGTTCGCAATATACGTCGGAATGTTATTATCTAACGACTGTTTAGGTATTCCAATTCTCTATTTTGGATGCCGCGGATTTAACGAAGAGCGTCGACCCTTTTCCGAATGGAACGTTATGAGGCGTCGAAAACTTAATATGCCTCATTAAATGAGCAAATTTAGCTACCTGGTGGAATTTAAAAATCTCTAGGAGGATTTACGGTTCTCATTATATATACCTGTGCAGGGATGGGGAGTCCAGAAAGGGAAAAGATGATTAAAAATTATAAAATTCATCATCACTTTACAATTTTTCAGGATGGAGTAACAAATGCCGTATTTTTTAATAATGATAATGATACGGAAATTCTAGTATGAATAGACGTCGAATATATAATATATACGAAGTCAATTCTAATGACAAAAAAACTAAATAGTTACCGAACGCCGGCAGCTTCTTTGTATCGCATTAGCGGCGTAGCATAATTTTTTTTCAAAATAAGTTTTATTTTTCATGAACCTATAATTATTTTTTCATTAGTATCAAAGAGTTATGCCATTAGTCTTTTATTTAGCTTTTTCAATTGACTTCGTTTGAAAGATTAAAAATATGTAAATAACATAATGGTTATGATTAAAAATTATGACGCAATGAAATTATTATTCAAGTGGGATACTGCACGAAATCACAGATCAGCTGTGTTTTAATTCTCTTTTAAATTTGTTTGTGTTGTCAATTGGTTAAGTTCCGAAAAAATTATTTGAGTACCCTCTTCTTCTAAAACGGCAATCAGCCGCGAATTCAAACAGTGTAACTAATTTAGAATCTTCATCGCTCTCTCTCCCCACTCATTTTTTACTCGGACAAAATTTTCTCCGACTTTTAAAAATATTACCCTTATGTAAGTTCTCTTAATGGAACTCTCTTGGAACTGGTTCAAATTATTATTTGAAACGGATTACCATTTATTCAATACTCACAATAATGGAATTTTGTAATAATACATTTTATTTATTGCTTCATTTATTACTTCTGTCTTGAACATTTATTCATGTGAAGTGGATGATCTGTAAAAATGGTAATCAATGAAATTACTATTATTATACTTCAAACTGAAAACTATTTGGAAACCTTGAGCAACCTTCAACCTCTTCATCTTTTTTCTGCTCCCAAAAAAAATCTCAGTTGATTCTCGGTTTTTCTTTTTTTTTAGATCAATTCTCGATCTACTAGTTCAACTCTTTGACATTCGGAAGAATGAGTTGATATTTACAGTTTTTCTCAAATATTCTCAATTGTATTATTTGTGAAAGTCTTTCATCAGACATTTTATATAATTTCTAATTCCATCATTATCATAAAATGTACCGAATTTTGTTGTAGAAAGAAATATCAATGTATGGAATCCTTATATCAAATTCACAAATAACTCCAGCTTGACTGCTGTTTGAGTGTGAAAATTTTCAAAATGGTGCTAGAAAGAATACGTTTTTGATAACGTTCAATTTCAAATCATTTGGTCTTTTTCGAATTTTATTTTTTTGGTAAGAAACTTTTCGTATCCGTTCATCTGGTTGAATAACGAGTTAGGATCCTTTCCAACGATCGCAGAATACTATCACTAAAAGTTTCATCGATATTCCAAATGAACGTCAACTCAACCAATACGACCCTGCGTCATTATTATCATGGAATTGTTTAGCCTGTGAATAATTTCTATCAATGAACTTTCGGATATCAAGGCCAAACTCCCTTCAATATACAAACTGATGCATCTGAAGGGTAATCAGTGTCAGTTCACGGTCTCGCAATTAATATTTGTGTTTACATCAACATCGTTCTATAACAATAAACCGACCGATCTTATTGCTGTTGTTAGAGTTTAATTTCATCCATTGCGTTCTCATCTGGAATTGCGACTTATCTGCACCACAGACAGCTGCGATACGGTTTTTACGAGATTGCAAAAATGGGAGCTTCCAGATTTTGATCTTCATAAACTTTGGATTCTCACACTATTATTTCACACATCATCGAAATTCAAATATAAACAGAATTTCACTAAAATATTATGCGTGTTAACCCAGTTCTCGCTTCCTAACCACGATATAATTTATTGTAAACGAGTTACTTCTAAATATATTTCGCAAAGTGGATATTTTGCGGCTAATATGAACATTACTTGAATGTGTGTTTGCTCCGTTCATCATAACAAATGACACTGAGTCTCATTTAAAATGTGTCATCATAACAGACTCGAACCATTCGAGTATAATGGCACAATCGGTGCGGATTGCAAAACGGTCGTAGAATTAGATCCACTGAGAAAAACTAACATGTTTAGACGAATTTTCGCAGCTGTTGCTTCGCATTGAGGACACGAATAGTCAAAACTATCTAACCGTCTGACACTTTCCAGTCACATGGGATAATAGAGTTTTTCCTCTCATTTTTTTGATACTCATTGCAACAATCCCGTTAGCTTTTACAATCCCTTTGTTGGATGTTTATTACACTCCAATTTTCCAATACATCACATTCGAACTATCTCTATTTCTGTAGTTGAGGCCTCCTCGATTGCAGCTTAACTATTGTACTATGTTCATTTCTTCTTTGATCCTTCTTGTTATAATATTCAGGATCCGCTGCATGTGGCCTCTCTCTACGTTATTTCATTTGCCCTACTTTGGGATGACTTGGTCGTCTTGGTTTATCTACTATGGTCTCTTCTTCATTAGTCTTCATTTAGGATCTACTATATTAATGAAATCGACTTTGATTAGTACGATTGAGTCGTCTGCATAGCTCAGTATTTTATATCTATTACGATTTAGGAGCTATAGTGGCTTGGAAAGGTTCCATAACTTAAGATATCTTACCGCGGTCTGCAGGTGATCTTCTTGAATAAGCTTCTTCTAAGCGTGTAATCTAGCCACCATCAACTTGCAGTCGATCCCTTTTTTACTCCACTTCTGTGTGATTGATTTCAAGGAAGTACTACCAAATGATCCCTTAATATCCACCAAGACAGCAGCTGAAAGAACGATATGATTTGGTTCGAGACTTCCGCTGAATTCTGTACGATATTCCTAGGTTTTGATATGAACTCTCTTCTCCTCGACTTCTGTATGATTGATTTCAAGGAAGTACTACCAAATGCTCCCTCAATATCCAAGACAGCAGCTGAAAGAACGATATGATTTGGTTCGTTGAATTCTGTACGATTTTCCTAGGTTTCGATATGACCCTTCTTCACCTCGACTTCTGTATGATTGATTTCAAGAAAGTACTACCAAATGCTCTCTTAATATCCAAGACAGCAGCTGAAAGAACGATATGACTTGGTTCGAGATCTACGCTGAATTCTGTACCATTTTCTTAAGTTTCGATATGAAGGTGGCCTTAATCAGTCTCCATGGTTTTGGTATGTATCCTAGAACCAAGCTTGCTCTGAGAAGAACACACAAATTTTGAAGAAGAAACTCCGGTCCTTCCTGCAGCATTACTGAATAGATACCTCCCGGTGCTAGTGATGTTATGATCTATTCAACCTTTTCCAAATCCACTTCTCTCTTTCTAATAGGCATTTTCTTTTGGATGAAGTTTTGGGAGTAAGGACTACGATGTCGTACTTCTGATTTCTGACCCAGAGAAGTAGACCAGGGAAGGCTTTCTTATAGTCTTGAATTATTTATTGAGACCTGAGGTATTTCATAGAGTCCGTTGGGTTTGTTAGACCTCATTGCCTCTTCCATGGATCTCTCTTAGATTTTCTCAGTGTTTAGCTGTACGCAGAGAAAGATCCTTTGTATTTGTCACATGGTTTTGATTTCCTTGCGTTTTGAAGAATTTTCTTGTTTGTTGTCTCATTCGTACCAGATAATCCACAAGGAAACATTCCTGTTTGACTCTAGCAACTATAGGAAATGTTCATTGCATAAAGAGGATATAACTTCCTGTAGTTTGCTGACAACTCCTGGAATCCCTTGTTTCAAGATCCACCAGGTGTAATATAATTATAGGTCTGCCTCATATACTTTTAGGGGATTATGATAAACTATGATCCGAAGTATGAATGGTCATGAAATGGAATAGGTGAATTTTAGCAGATGTTGGGCTCACACTGAAGGTACGACAGATCAAAACCAATATAAGTATTGGAAATTTGAGGTCCATAGTTTAAAGAATGATATAAATACCTACTAGGGCTTCAGAATTGACCTTGAAGAATTGAACTAAAGAGGCATGAATTAACTAACCTGTCTGAGGTGTTCGAGATCAGCCTTGTTTCCTAGCAGTACCCTAGGGATCTGATTTCTCAGTTGCAGCACTCTTTGGAGCATATCAGTGGCTTGGTTGAAGGAATCTCTGCAGGTGATATCGTAGACGACGACACAAGCGTCCGCCCAATATATCGCTTCTTCTGGAAAAGCTTGAATGTCGCAACTGCAGACGTCTACAATCTCAACTTCCAAAGCGGAATTGTTCACTGTCAGAGTTTGACGGTACAGAAGATCTGTAACAAAGGAAAGAAATATTTAGTTTGGTTGTTTGTTTCAGTTATGTGGTTTTGCATTGATAGTGTTTTCATTCTACACTTTATATATTTTGATATTACCATTTAATCGTAATAAGGTGTTTATGACACGAGGTGTCACAATTGAAAATAATTCGAGTTTCATCATTGAGTCACAATTCAATTTTCAACAATATTTTTTTAGTAATCTGAGTTTTAGTAATAATTTTTTAAAGGTTACTCTATGGTTTTTCTAAAGTACAAACTGTTTTTTTATATTATTGTCTTATTTCAAGTTATCCAACCGTTAGTCATCTGTTTCTTTATTATCTCCATCATATTGTTTTTACTGGTGGTTGTCAAATAAACACTCTACTCAATGTGTGATAAAAAAGTGTAACATTTCATTTCTATCCCACATCTGACACCTTCAAGGGCTACTCATATTCCCTCGAAATTGGATATCATATTTTATGAAAGCACGTGTGATTTTATGTTGAATGTCACCTACATTCCACCCGACAAATGCAGTAACGAAAGAAATATCTGGACAATTGCTTTGCTGACGTCTTTCCAATAGGATGAGTTCAAGGCGTAACGAAATATAATCGATGAGTTTTTATTGTTTTGTGTGCCATTCAATAAGTGCCCTCTTTGTTTTGAGACATCTCTTTCATAAGTCGTTCCAATTATTGATAATCTAATAAATTCACTCTACAATCAAAAAGTCTGCTATGTAGCAACTCTTCATTACGAAATCTAGAGATTCGATGCCAATGTTTCCACTTTGTTGTCAAAATACGGAAGTGATGAAGAATTCGGACTCTTAAATTTCAGCTTTAACAATGTTTGAGAAAGTAACAGTTATTGAGGCATTCATTAGCGGTTGGTCTATTATTAGAAGTGGACTGTATAAAAAGATTGAGGTGACACAAGTGAATTAGGCGGGCATACTTTAAATAACTTCGTTAGACGTATTTACAGAGTGAAGGGAATGTAAAAATGATGAAAGATAAGATCATGTCACAGATGCTGAAGTAGCGATGTGGCGTAGAATTTTCGCCTGTATTTTAAAACACGTTTCCGATGTTCTGGTATCCACGTTGTAGTGAAATTTGGATGTACTATGCCAAAAACTTACACTACAGGAGGAGTATGAGTATTTCACCACTATCAGCTACTATCAGCTTGTACATGTAAATAGTGATAGACAAAAAAAAAAGTATTCATGCAACACTTCATTATGAAATTTTCACTGGACAGTTTACGAAACTGAAATACGTGTTTTGCTAGACAATAGCTATACAATAGTTCATATTTAAACTCGGGTGGAAATATCAGTCATGATTCTAGGTGATACTAGAAGAAATGGTAAATATAGAGGAGTGCTCTATCTGCTTCCACTTAGTTATGCAGTAAATAGTATGGTATGAGAACTCATGTAGGTAAAACAGTAAAATTTCACAGCTATCATGATAAATACATCCACTTTCTTCATAAACTTGTTCATCTCGTATTTTTGTTTCGATATTGAATGAGAATGTTTTTTCAAACAAAACGGTCAGATAAAAAACCATGAAAAATTCCTATAGATATACAAAATTAAGTATGACATTTCTAGCGTGTATACTTCAATAAACATAATAATTTGAATCATAGTCAATTGATACGGTTCCCATCTTTAATTTCACTCTCAATCAAGTCTAGAGAAAATAATGTAGTCGATCTAGATATGTCAAGCGATTTCGTATGATTTTATAATAGTTTACAGACAGTAGAGAAAGCAAAAGTGAATATTTACAATCAAACATATGTATCATCATAAAATTATCATTGATCGTGTCTGTACATTGAGATATTTGAGAAAAAAGGTCTCTTTGACGCAACATAAATGCAATTTCGATAGAATCTCAACTGAAAAAGTTTGTCAATTTAAAGAATCACGACAAATATTTGTTGGAAAAAGAAATACTATGAAAATACTATTCAGTTGATTTGGCTAAAACTTTGGTTAACTATATTCAAGTCGAATCTTTTTATGAATCAAAAATAGTCTGTTAGAAAATCTGGGAAAACCCAAAAATTGAAGTCCACGAGAATGAAGTCGCGAGATATAAGTAATTTAATAAATATCCGTCATCAGTAAACAGAAAATGTTCATGTTGCTATCTAAATTTGTGATATTCTAGAGATATAAGTTACTAATCTACTGATTTTCATTGTTTTCTGGCAAAATAATAGACTTGTATAGATTCTTCCAATGGTTTTATTCATTTTTCTATCTTACATAGTCTTCCTCCTGTAGATTCAATAGACGTGAGTTTGTTTACTGGTTAAAAATGAATGGATTGAGAAATAAGAATCTTTCATCAGTTGACCAATTTTTATTGGAAGTAGGGAATGTTTTATCCAATTTACGAAAAACAATTTCACTTTTTGTGTGAATTTGTCAGAAATAAACTGAATTCTGTAAAATAAAAAACGTTTATTAAATTCCGTATAGAAATTCAACTTACGATTTCACAAATACAAATGATGTTTAATTGGCCTTGTAGTCGAAAATAAAAGCAACATCAATATTCTGTTTGTTCTGCGTTTTGTGATTCCCCTTCAAATCGTGTCGGTTATAGACAATAAAAACATCAAATTGATGAAATATTTCATTTAAATTTCGAAATTTCGTCTGAATCGTTGATAGACCGAGTCACGAAAACAGTAAAACGTTAGATCCGTTTTCCTGACAAAACAAATCGTTGCCAAAGGCCACCTAAAACCGATGAACTGTAGGTGAGTAAGCGTGAGTTTGAAAAATCCTTCGGCCACAATTTAGGGAGGTCGCACTATTTTAAATAAAATATAATCTTCCTGAATTCAGCCATTCCAAATGAGCCGGCATGTAATCAATTAGTTTTGAGTGTGATGTTTAGATGCGTCCTTATCTATCGGCTTCCGTTAAAATGCAACGGGAGATAATTTACAAATTGGTGTTTTGCTTTGCATATTTTCGAGACAATTATTTTGATGAACTGGGCGTGAAATATTATTCCCGACACATTAAAATGATATGCAGCTGTTTATGACAAGCGTAATGTAAGATTATACTACATTCTGGAATTCATGCAAAATTAAGATTCTTAAAACTGTTACCTTGTACAATTTTCAACATTGCTGTTAGAACTGAACTCTTTGTAGAGCAGAAGAGAACCAATCACATTGGGTTTCGTAATTATCTAAATATTTGAAAGTGTTTATTCTGGAGAATGTACCGCGAGAGAAACAAAACCAAGGAAAACACACGGTAGGTAGTCACCTAGTTTTGAGTACGACTCAAAAATAACTCGGTATATTTTATTGAGTTGTCTTGAAGAGTAATTTATGTAATAAATGACTTCGACCTATATTACGACCTGGTTTAGTTTTGTCTCAATTTCTGATGACAGTCAATATTCTAAAGGACAGATCATTAAGAAAATTGAAAATACGGGCAGGTGATAGAGATGCTATATTAAAAAACAGTTCTTACCTTGACATAGTTCAATGAATAAACGAATTTGTGAATAGAATATTTTGATTGGAAAAATACTACCATGGCTATCAATTTTTACTATAAAGAAAGTGAATTTTTTTTGAAAAAAAATCAATGAATGCTAACAAAGACTTATTGAAAGTCATCACTGAAAAATAATTAATAAAAATCACCACGATAGAAGATCGTATTATTTCATTTCGTGAATAAATACTATTTCTATACAATAGGAACAATTATAAATGTCTTTGATTTTATATTGACATTCAATATCCTATGATAATAATATCTTTATTCCACCATTTTGAAACTTTTGTAGGAAGGAAAGATTCAAATTGTTTTACTTGATTGCATTTGTAACTAATATCGACTACCTGAGAAATAGGGAACTATGGAAAATCGAAAAAATTCAGCCATAATATTTTCCATTTAATTGGTTATTTAATTCAAATTTGTATTTTTGTCAAACACTACAGAAACAATTGCCCCGGTAATAGAAATCGATACGACCTTGAGAGCCAATTTTTCACTTATTTACTTCAATTTTCTGAAAATCAGTAACCTCAGTTCATACCATTCCATAATAGACTACCTTTTATATGTGTTAATTAACTGTACCATCCTCAACTAATTGAAATTTCATTATCTGCGAAAAATGTCATTCCAGAGATGCGTATTTGTCTGAAATATTTTTCTCATTCCAATATAAACTGATAATTCAGGAACTGCATTTCTGTCATTTTTTGAATAAATATAATAGGTCACTGAAGAAATTAATGAAGAGAATGAAACAAAACCTGATACAAGTTATTATCAGAGTACCTTGTATTCAATTGGAATTCAAAATCGACAATTTTGATATTATTCACTTGGAATATTCTTGCTAAATTGTTTTCACGTGTTCAGCAGTTTGTGTGGAGCTTCAGAAATAATGAAATTTGCAAGCGCAACTAAAAATATCCACCCACAATCATTTTACCAGGTTTTGCAAAGTCTTATGCATTGCAATCTCCCGAATTTTTGGCAACCGGATATGCTGCAGTGTTTACATATCTTTGCATCTCTTGAAAAATTTTTGTTTTGCTAATTCATCGCATTTTATGACTGTTTGGTCTGAGTGCTAATATGCAATTTGTCCTCAGATATTTTTTCAGGATTACTTACAGCACTGTTTATTATGGGGGAAGGTATTTTAATGAGTCTCATTAGTCCAATATGAACGTAGAATTCTTAATTAATGATTCGGGAGAAGTCATTGCAAGTGTCAGTTTATTCAGTAAAGGCAGCATCAACTTTACTCATTTTTAAAGCGCAAAATGCTTGCTTTGATATCTTTTTTGAATATCAACAATACCACTTGTTTTACCCTTTTTTAGTGTCTTGAAGTATTTACAGTAGAATCAAATTGAATGAAATTCTCATTGAGAAGGTTTATACTCGTACAATTTTGTTACGTAATTTAAATTCCAAACAT